CGAAGGGGCGGCCACAGGAACAGGGCAAAGATGGCTTTTCGGAAGAGCCAGTGGGGCCTAACCGCTTCTTACAAGAACACCAGTCATATTGGATTTGGGCCCACTCATATGACCTCATTTTACCACATTTACCTTTTAAAGGCCAGATCTCCAAATATATTTGCATTGTAAGGTACTGGGGGTTGAGACTTCAATGTATGGGGGGGGGGGTGGCGCACAATTTAGCCCATAAGAGTAGCATTGCTCCCTAGATTGGCTGTGCATGAAGTCCTATGTCCCCACCGCCCCTCCGGCACTTGGTCCATTCAGCTTCCTGTTTTTCCAAACCAATAGGTTTAAGGTACCATCTTACTGTTGTTAGCACATGCAGTTCTCTGTATTTCTGGTGATTTTAAACATCTTCGTATGCTTATCCGCTTTTGGGGGTTTCCCTTCCTCAAACTGTCCACTCGTTTTTCTATTGAGGTTGCTATCTTTCTTGCTGATCTACAGGAATTGCTTGTGTATTAATCCTCTATTGTATTAATTCATTGTAATTATCTTCTTGTGTTTAACTTGGTCCACAAAATCCTTATTTGCATGTAATCAGATTCATCAATCACTTTTTTAAGGGTTATGTCAGTGACATTTTTTTTAGGGAGACTTTTTCATCCTAGGTCACAAAGATACTCTCCTTCATGTTCTTGGGTGAACTTCAGAGGTTGTGCCTTGCACATCTGACCCAGCACTGCCTTAGGGCTGACTCAGCAGAGCCAGGCAGCGCCCCCTGCCGGTGCACAGGCGGCGTCTTGGTCTCTGAGCCTCACTCTCCCCTGGCATGGCCAAGGATGCTGTCAGGCAGTACTTCTGCTACCTGGCCCCATCAGGGGGTAGAGCCCAAGAAAAAGGAAGATGATTCATCAGCTTAAGCTGGTACCCAGCTCTCCTGGCACAGAAAGGACACCCTTTGTGGGCTAAGATCCCCTTTTATTTTTGTGGGTGCTGCCAAGTGGTAGACAGACCTCGTTCCCAGCTCAGGGGAAGGAGCTCTGAGCTACACTGTACTGGCTTCCTGGGATGGGCCTCAACTTCCCCAACCCAAGTAATGAGGGGGTTGAATCAGATGACATCCAAAGGCTCTGCCAACTCCCAAATCCCAGAACTCAGTAACTCAGATGTTTATTTTGGAAGTCTTTGCCTCCTCCAAAAGATTTCATGCAGGACAGATGGTGGAGAGAAAAAGCTTGGAGCGTGCATTTCCCAATGTGTGTAGAGCGTGATCAGGAGAGGTTGGTGCATGTGTTTCCTTTCTGGGAATTTTACCAGCTGCCACAGGGAGACCTCTGCAAAAGGGCCCGTCCCAAAGATGTGGCTAGCAGCTGCGCCTCCTGGTGGCCGTCTCGTGACAGGGCTGGTCTTAGGAGATAACTCCATCCTCAAGAGTAGACAGGAGCCTGCCCTGCACACACAGCAGGTAGGGACAGAGCCTGCATGGGAGGCAGGCCTCCCAGCCCCCAGGGCAGCATGGCAACTGTTATTTTGTTTTTTTTCAAGGTCTTTTCTGGACCCATGATTGCATTCCAGAGTCTGAGATTAGTGCTGAAGACTCTTTGAGTCCTTGCACCTGTCTAGACTTCACTGGATAAGAGGACCTGAATTTTACTTCTCAAACACAACCCCCTCCATGTGCCAGGCCCAGGAAAGTGGACCCATAAATCAGAATGTTTCACACAAATACAGACACACAGTTAAGACGTACCTTAGGTTTATTCTCCTCCCACCTCTGAAGCCACATCACTTAATTTACATATACACAGCACGTAAACGGCTACACAACATTCTTCACATACACGAACACAAGCGTAGGCTTCCCCGCTGTGTGGACATTTGTTAAAACGTCCCCATCGTTTGGGCCACACAGACCTTTGCTACGACATGAAAACAGTGGGACGCTGGTGTAACACGGACAGCGAGCTTCTGAAAGGAGCGTGTGAAGAGGGTGCCCTGGCTCAGTCCGCCTCAATCTCTTCTGCTCTTAGAAAATCCCATTAAACACAACAGAACCCTGGGGGCCGTTGAATAACGCACTGAACACTGCTTCTGAAGCCGCCCCGGAATCAGATAGGCATAAAGGATAAAGAAGGTCACACGGGCCAAGCGCAGGTTAGAGGCTCAGAGTGGATTTGGTAAATTTACCCTGAACGAAAGGCGCGTGTGTGCAACAGCTCCGCCATCAGTACACACGGCCAGATGTTTCCATATCCGGCCATTCCCAGATTTTACTGACAAGCCCGTTTCCCCAGGTTCTCTGCCAACGACGTTGCCCCGGCAACAGAAGTTTGACACCACTGCTCCCAGGCGGGAAAATCAAAGCTCTCCTCATGTAGGGACAGACCTTGGGGTTTGGTCCCTGGCTCCCTACATGACAGGCCTGAACCACAACCTGCAGGACAGGCCTCCCTGGATCCTGGAGGACCCAACACCAATGGTACCAAGGGCTCTGTGCCTGGATGGAAGGGGGCAGGGCCAGGGGGCGGAAGAAAGGCCGATACCTTTCTGAGGTGGAAGAATGGGGGGGCCCTTCACATTGCAGTACCATAAAACGCCCCTTTTTTGTAAGGCCGGAGACATGGCCATGCTGCGCCGCCTGAAGCGGACAGGACTACCGTATCGCAGGTGAACTCAAGGCCTTCCTCCTGCGCACGATGGTTTACCAGTACTCTCCCGCTAGGCCCTCGCCCTCTGACAGCACGCCAAGGAGCAGACTGATGCTCCCGCCATTCCCCACGTGCAGACGCAGGCCGACAGGCAGTGACTGCCCTGCGGCGCGGGGCTGAGTGTCAGAGCCAAGCCAGGCCTCCGGCCAGCTGACCCGCACGGTCCTGCCCCAGCCTCCTCTCTCGAGGGCACACCTGTTCTCTCTTCTTCCACCGTTATGAACACTCAGTGTACAGGTGCAGCTTCCCGGCACCTGGGCAGGATTCCATGTAGGGACAAGGGAATGTGAAACGTCAGAGCAGGGCGCACATCCGGTCGCCATAAACACTCCCACCCCTGCTGGTCCTCGGGCCTCGCCCGTGCTGAACTGAGCACGCAGCAGGTTCTCCAGGGCCCCCCGTTCTGCATGTTACAAGGAACGTCCAGCCCTAGATGGGGTGCAGCCCGCAGCCCCCACATGCCAAGGGGCAGCTGCTGTCTTTCAGCAGAGCCCCCAGCTCTGATCCCTCCATCCTCTACTGCCCGCACCCCAAACAGCCAGCCTGGCTGGCTGTCCTCTATGACTCTGAGCAGAGCTGACTGCAAAAGTGCTACTTCCCTCCAAGACCCGACCCCAGGCAGGTGCTGAGCTCTGTGGGGTGCACGGGGCGGCTGGGGGGCTCAGTGCAACCTGCCTCCTCTCGGAGCTCCCGTACCCACCCTCTCGATTACAACTAAAGGTGGCTTTCCCATCGTGGCCTCTGGCGAGGGCTGGAAGGTGTGGGACAGAAGTGGGGCGCTGGGGCGTGGCCTCCAGGAAGAGGACGGGGAGCTCAAGGCGAGGTTGACAGAAATGATTACGTGTTTTCCTTTCAGCACTCCTCCAGACACCCTTTCCCCACCCCTTGAGGATCTTTACAACGTTGGGCCTTGACTCACAGCGCCTGCCGGAGTTCACGGATAACAAGAGTGAAGCGCGGGAGCGAGACCGGGAGCCTGCGGTCACAGCCGACGGTCACGTTCTTCCTGCCGCAGGCAATGGGGCTTCCAGTACCCCGAACACGCTGACCACCTCCACCCAGAGATACCCAGGGTCGGTTCTGGTCACAGCTGGCAAGCCTGGGAAGTTAAGCAGAATCCCTGTGCTGGTACAGGTAGGGGAGGGAAAACCCTGCTCCGGAGCCTGAGCCATATTCCCACCCTGGCAGTCAACAGAATGCAACTCACTGATGCCCCAGATCTTGTAGCAGCTGATACCAGAAGGCACTTGTACGGTTTCGTTTTCAACATTATTTCCTCCAGTCCCAGATCTCGCCCTGTGACAGGGGTTGGGCAGGTGGCATTTAACTGCTGGGAAAACCAAAGTGTTGGAACAGCTGAGTCCGTGGTGGGGTGAGAGTAACCACGGCCACGTGCAGCCAGCTCTCTGGCACTGAGGACAACCCAGGGGCCTTAGAACTCCAGGCCTGGCCCACGTCAGCCCCAGCCCTGGGATTTCCCTTGGACGAAATCTCCAGCCCTTCTCTCCTATTAGTAGTTTCTTCCTCCAGGGAGCTGAGACCTCTCGTAGCTGGACTGCAGTTAAAGTGTTTATGTGGTCATTAGTTTGCACTGCTTGGCTGATGCCTCTCCCCTTGTTAACTGATCAAGCCCACATTCACTCTGTGGCTAACATGGCCACTAGTGCGGGCAGAGTCCCCCAGGAGAGTCCCCTTCGAGGGCTGTTCTGTGCTGCTGGCTGAGTGTGGGTCACAGGCTCAGATGCTCAAAGCACCTGGGGTGCAGGGCTACGCTGCAACACCCGTAGCACACGGGCTCAAAGAGAACACGAGTCCTCTGTAAGCTGTTCTTACCGACTTCTAAAGCTCATCGTGCTTCGACCACGGACGGATGTGCCCCGCCTCCTTGGCCTCCCCCTCTACTTTACCATCTCTTCGAAATGATCTCCCGGAAGCCTGAGCACTCGGACATGCAGACCCAAAAGCAATGCAGGAACAACTCCGAAGCTTCCATCTGAGGATGTGCCACTCGAACTTTCATACCCAGATATTTTGTGATTAAAAATAGAAAATTCTATTATACAAAAATAAAATTACTCTGGCAACATTTCCCCAACAGTTTCCAGTCACACAAACTCGTTTTTCTTTTTCTTTTCTTCTTCTTTTTTTTAATCCTCACCCAAGGACAGTTTTGCAGTTTAGCTTCAGATAGAGCAGGAGGGAGGGAGGGGGTAAGAGAAACACTCACACGACCCTAACCGAGGTGGGGACAAACTGCAACTGAGGTACGTGCTCTTAGTGGGAACTGAACCCAGGACTCTCTGGTCCGCAGGCCGACGCTCTAACCGCTGAGTCAAACCAGCCAGGGCCAAACTCGTTTTTCTTAAAGTGATACCAGGGTAGTCAGTAACAGTACGACACCAGTAATAATGGGGTACAACTGAACTTCCCGAAACAAGTCTTACTTTCCCATGTGCACAAAATCTCTCGCGATGGTTTTCAACTTATAAAAACTATCAAAATGGGATTTTTTCACTTATCAAGACTACATAACTCAACTCAGACTCTTCCATGCAACTGTGGTTGAGCCATCAGATTCCAGACTTCTGCCAAGAACAATGTAAGGTCCAGCCTCCGAAATGGCTTTCTGAATGGTACTAGATACCTAAGGGATCTGACTCGGACCCATATTTTTGGAAAACTATAATCAATCAATATTTGACAATGAGAGAAAGAAAAGTAACTTACTTTTCAGAGCACAGGGTTAATTATATATTTATAAAGCTTTAAAAAATTTAACCCCTACTTAACTCTTGTTCATACAAAATGAGTCCCTTGATCCAATTAAGATGATTGGGAAAGATGTACAGGAGCGATCCATGTGGGAGGTCTTCTGGGAACAGGGCCAAGGATTCGTGATCATTAAAATGATGCACCAGCTGCCACGTGCAAGGCTGACGGCAGCAGCCCCCCACCCCCATCCGTAAGGTGTGCCTGTGGGAATCCATGTGGCTCACCGTCTCCAGTTTGTGAGCCACTGCAAGGAATCCTGAAATCCTCATTTCTGCTCTTGCTTATGTGCTTATGACCCAGTAGCACTGGTTGTTCAATTAATTTTTTAAATATTCAGATATACCCTGCAAATAGAAAACGTCTGTACCCACAAAGTCCCACCACCCTAAAAAGTTATATATAAATTAAATACACTGAGCTTTCTTAACCATCTTCTTAGCTAAGTCTGTCCTTACCCTTTCAATTTATATCCAAAATGTATTTAACTATTCTAAAAGTATCATATTGATAACTATTCTAGGTTATCAAAAAATGTAAACAAAATTGATCTTGCTTATATTCATGAACCATATTCTTTAGTTTTTAATTTCCTCTGCACTGACCTTCAACACACAACGAATCAAGTCAGATTTAGACTGAAAAGCTGCCATGAATTTGAAAGTGGTCCCTCAGAGACAGCTGCCAATCATTAAAACTGGTGGTTTTACCGAATCTAGTGGTTTATTGCATCATTCCGTTTAAAAGACCAAAATAATTCCATCCTGATCTTCCAGTAACGCTCTTTCTGACTTGAGCTGTGGCGTCCGCTGCCTGAAGCAAACGTGCTGAACTGGAGAGCTCGGCAGAGCGGGGCCTGCGCATCAGGCGACCTCATGCCTCCAGCTGCACCTGTGAGAAGTCCCCAAGTCTCACTATCAGCCAGTTTGGTGGAAAAGAACTTCAAGAATGGATGGAAACTTGAGGTGGAGTGGAGAAGCCAGAAGGGAAACACAGATGACCCTGACAGGAACATCAAAGGTCCGTTCCTCACACCCCACAGTCAGACTGCTTCTCCTGAAGCTGCCTCGTCAGTATCTGGTGTGAAGACAGAAAAGCCACTCCTATGTGGAAGAGGATCTGCCAGAGGTTCCTCAGCCCATGCAGGTACACGTTGCCCAGGCAAATGGACAGCAGCATCAGCACCACCTTCGTCGTCCTGGCGGGGCTGTAGAACAGGTACAAGTAACACTGAAATGACACCAGGAGGGGAAGCCCAATCAGAGGCAAGAGAACGGCCACGGGTCAGATCAAGATTCACTTCTTGCACCTGCCACGCACGGTGTCCGTGCACACACGTTAGCTTATTACACTGACCTCATCACACTGAGGCTGGGACTCGCTGGGTAAGTTGCTGCTAGTCACTGAATGAAAGTGGAGACTTGGAAGAGAGAAGGAAAGTGAAACAGGTATCACAGGGGAAGCAGAACACTGCATTCTTAAAGAAGTGTGGGAAATAAAGACCCAAACGCCCAGGCTGCGGGCTGCAGAGAAGGAAGAGATGGGGGACGAGGGGCAGACGGCCAGGCCAGGACACCTGAAGACTGGTCCCCAGTGATGTTTCCCTCAGGGCTCAGGACAGGTGACAAAGCCGGTGAGAAGAGCTGTGTTTTTCCTAGTTTCCTTTCCCTGAGTTACAATCACACAGGGTCTAGGTTCCCGAGACATCTGCCTTATCATGTCTTAAAGAGCCTCTCGGGGACAGGGAAAGGCCTCCAGCAGGGCGTGACTGGTATACTGTGCAGGGCCTATCCCACGGAAAAGAGGCCATTCTTGTTCTGCCAAAGGGAGAAACAGCTCTTTGGATGGATGTTTTTTGTTTTTTTTTAAAAAGCACATTTTCAAACCGCAGACGATCTGACAAAGGCTCAGCTACAGCGGGCAGGAGAGCCCCATCAGAGCGACAAACGAGCGTGCAGTCCAGGCTTGAAGGGTGAGACCCTGCAGCCCTGAGGTGCAGCTCCTGGCAACGCTACTGACGACCCCCAGGTGCTGGACACCTGTTTCTAACAATGAGCATGTTTTCCATTTGGGGTTGAAATTTCTTTTTGCATAATCATGTAATTTTTAAAATATGCCCCTTTAGGACGTATGTGAGAGAGAGAGGAAGTGCCCTAAGAACAGAAACGTGAATTAAAAAAAAAAAAAGCTTAAAGATGAAGAGAAAGTAATAAAATCCTAGCCCAGTGGAGGACAAGTAAAAAAAATTACTCAGGTTTTCACTAGAATTAACTCTGTTTTTGGAGAGTCAAAAGCTCCTTTTTACTCCACCCCTTACATAGGCAGCTTACCTGGAAATAACTAAGTCATTAGCAAAGCTCTAAGTTAGCATTACTATTATTATTATTTTTTTATCCTCACCCAAGGACATTCCTCCATTTTTTGTTCAGATAGAGCGGGAGGGAGAGAGAGAGAGAGAGAGAAACATCAATGTAAAACGGACACATCAAGTGGCTGCCTCCCACACGACCCAACCAGGGCCGGGGACAAACTGCAACCGAGGTAGGTGCCCTTAGCGGAAACCGAACCCGGGTCTCTCTGGACTGCAGGTCAACGCTCTAACCACTGAACCAAACCGGCCAGGGCTAGGTTAGCAGTATAATTTTTGTTTCACTTCCTCAGGACAGATTTAAGTCAGATAGTATTACTATTAAAAACAACATTCTTACCTAGACTGTTTTAAAAGCACACATATACACAGATGTGCCTCCTGCAGAAGGACATTTCTGCACATGGATCGTCCGCCAACACAGAGGAGGCCAGACCCTGCCGCACAGGCCCAGCCCAAATCCCACTGCAGCCCCATCCCTCCTTCCCGGGGTCAGATCCAAGCCCCTGCTTTCTGAGCTGCCTCCGTGAAAGACCCTGGGGCCCCGGGCAAGTGGTTTTCCCTTGCTGAGCCCAAGTTCTTTCTCTGTGAAATGAGAGGACTGGGCAGGCTGGGCCTAGGGTCCTTCCACTAGGAGCTTGGCATTGTCCATGATTTGAACCAAGGCCTTGGTGGAAAACAGAATCTAGAAACTTGCTGGATTATTTTCCAACAAGAGAACAAAATAAGGCCATGGGTTTAACCCACTAATCACCACAATAGTAACGTTTCACTCACCTGGAAAATGCAGGCTATGAAAGGAATAAGAAAAGCCAGAATATTTCCAATTTCCTCATGGGCGACCTAAAACAAATAGGATGAACACAAGAAGAGGAATACTTAGATCAAAGGAAATTCTATCCGCGCTGATATGGTTGACGGCAGAGACATAAGTCTCTGTTTAAGTAACAGAACAAGAGTTGATATGCAATTGTTTCCAGTGACCTGGACACACCATGCACCCTCCTGTCCCCATGCATCCATGCTGAGCCCTCAACCTGACATGCACCCAACAACCCCACCACCTTTCAAAATCCTACTCATCAGTCAGTGCTAAGCTTTCTCTAATTCCTCCCATCCCCAGGTACAGCCACCTCCTTAGTGATGTCACCATACTCTATTTCGTGCCCACAAGGCAGGGACTCTCTTAACAATCTTGTTGACCAGGCACTGGTTCCAGGGTGTACAGACACTGGCAACAAACCACAGGAGTGGGCACCACACCACACATGGCCGAAGACGGGATGTGACAGGCAGCCGCCGCTCTCACGGCACAGCTGCTGCCCTCCTCCCGACAGGCCAGCCTACAGCCTAAGTCCGCCCGACAGGACAGCAGCACACTCAGGCTCCAGCCGCAGCTCTCACGGCACAGCTGCTGCCCTTCTCCCGACAGGCCAGCCTACGTCCACCCGACGGGACAGCAGCACGCTCGGGCTCCAGCAGCCGCTCTCTCGGCACAGCTGCTGCCCTCCTCCCGACAGGCCAGCCTACGTCCGCCGGACCGGACAGCAGCACGCTCAGGCTCCAGCCGCCGCTCTCTCGGCACAGCTGCTGCCCTCCTCCCGACAGGCCAGCCTACGTCTGCCCGACGGGACAGCAGCACGCTCAGGCTCCAGCCGCCGTGCCGTGGGCGTGAGCGGCAGGCCTCTGTCTTCTAAAGTAATCTCTATTGTTATGCTCACGATGCTTCTATACTTTTTAAAGTGTTTGATATACTTCCAAATTAAAAAGCAGTTTTTAAAAACACTGAAATAGAAAGGTCCTTTGAGAGGAGCAGGCTGAAATGTCAACTTCCTAGTGATGGTTTTGAGAAGGACCCAGAAAAGTGGTATCTGCATGATATAAATCAGACTATGAGACAACTTTTTCCAGGGAAAAAGACCTGAACCTTAAAGTCTAGACTCAAACTTTTGCCCTGGGTGAACAATAGGACCCCAGCCTGGGGTCCTAAGGGCCATGGGTGGTCGGATTTCCTTATACCAAATTGTCCATTTCTCACCAGTACCCCAAAGGCTCCTTCAGCTTCTTAGAAAAACAGATACGAAAGAGTATGTTTCATATCTGTTCAACTTACTACACAGAATAAAATCAGAAATAAAAATTTGGTTTGAATTTTAAGACTTCAGTGTATAATAACCTTATAAATAAAATGAGTCCCCATCAGCTGCTTCCACCATGTGTCCCTCCATTTAAACCGTAAAGCGGTTACCTGTCCAGAGTGCTCTGCGAGGTGAATTCCACGAATGAGGTTCAGAGCAGCACACATGATGTTGAGAACAAGGGAGAGGACACCCAGGGCTGTCACTGGTTCCATCCGGAAACTGGGAGCTTCACAATAAACGTAAGAGTCTAGTGAAAACAACTTCCATATGAAAAAAATGAAGACATTTACTAGACCCCCACTAATGACAGGTTATGGTAAACACACATATTAACTTAAACAGCAGCTGTAGTTAGAGGGGGAGAGGCGAGAAACGAAGGACAGAATGGACCTGGGCGTCCGAGCAAGCTCCTCCCAGAAGGCCCTGCTCTGAGCAAGCACAGGTTTGTCAAGTGTCTGTTTCATTTCCTTTCTATTTAAAGCTGTGGTTCTCAGCCAGGGGCGATATGCCCCTCAATGGACATGTGGCAATGTCTCAAGACATTTGGGTTGTCACAACCGGGGACAGGGCATTACTGGCATCCATCGGGTAGAGGTGACAAGTGCTTCTATACTCCCACAGTGTACAAGGCAGCCCCAAATGAAGAATTATCCAGTACAAATGGCCACAGGGTTGAGAAATCCTGATGTAAAGCAATTCATGGCTTTATTTGCAAACTGGTTGTCAGTTTCTAAAAGTGTTTCTATTGCACACATCAACCCTCAGCTTGTAAAATGCTCCCCTCCTTTTCCGACAGGGTCAATATTCAGTTTCATGTCTGCTTCCACATCAATTCTCAGCAAATGTCATTTTAAAATTCTAACATAATTGGGGAGAGGAGGGAAAACACTGATTATTTCCATGGCAAGCTGTTTCTGGAACTCTAAATGGAAGAAATGATCCTTCTCTCTTTAAAGATAACTGCCGGAGTTGACTGGTTCACAAAATTAAAGGGTGTCCCACCCATTCTCTTGCTGTGCTCTTTCTAAAACATCCCTTCTTGTCCTTACATTTCCCACATACACAAACATGTACACGTGTGCACATGAATCTCTAGCCACAAGCCCACTGATGCCTATTGTTAGTGTGTTAGTTTTCACTGAGCAAGTCAAAGTTCCTGTTAGAACAGAACGTGCTACCTGTAAAGATTCTAGCCTCAGGACAACACAGTGAGTCAAACCACAGTAGACGTCCTAGAAAGATAGGCAAGTTGATACTGTCTGTATTTGCTCCTCTTGCCTAAGTGGTTAAAAACCAAACACGTATTACAAAGTTACCCTGTCTTCAGATATGGCAAAGGAGAGGAGTGGGGTTCAACTACCTAGTCTTCCTTCCACAAAAGTCAAGCTCATTCCCAACATAAATTACAACTTACCGATTGGCCTAAGAGCCAATCCAGGAATTTACTGGTTGAAACATTAAATTAAAACACAAAGTTAAGCCAAAAACATGAACACTTTTAATATACAACTTTTACAATTCAGGCAATGAGTTTAGTATAAAAGTTAAAATAATTAGATTGTTATAGTATCGTATAGCTTTGTTTCAGAGCAAAAGTCAGCTCTGCACCATGACAACATTCCTTCAATGTAAATACCCACTTAGGTTAAACATTGGTTTAATCCTGTGATATGGTAAAGGAATGCCAGCAATCCCACTTCGTTATAGGCTACCCACTGGGGGCCGGTACCAGCCTGTCACAATGCCAGGGCAGCGATCACTTTCGTGGACACCTCAGTTCTCAGACGACCACTCGGATGTCCACAAGGACAGAGGATGTCCCAGGTCTCACAGAGAAGCAGGGCGAGTCTAGAAGCCCTGGCTCTGACCCCTAACCACACTCGGCCCCATAGCCCTCCTCTCCCTCCATCAAGGAGGGCAGAGGTCTCTCAGGGAGCTGCAATGTTTCACTAAGTGATGAGATAAGGATTCACTGTCAAAGGAAAAAAAGATAGACAGATAGATAGATAAATAGATAGATAGGCAGACAGACAGATAGATAGATAGACAGACAGACAGACAGACAGACGGACGGACAAATCTGTGTAAGTGACTTCCAAGAAAAGAGAATAAATCTCCTTTACAACATTTAAACCTGTAGACTTCACCCTGGTTAAGAAAACAATCTGCCAAGTCACTCTTCTCCTGAATTTCATCCCAAGAGTCACCTCCCCGCAGATCAACTCATTGTCATAATGGCCAACTTTTTTATAACCACCACCTGGAAACAAGATCAGTCCATACTTTCCCCCACATATTTAATATACCCTGCCTCCAAAATACCTTCCTAGTGAAAGAACCCAATGTCCCTTTGAAACACATAATATCCTCTCATCTTCATCAACATCAGAGAACAGCAGGCCACTTACCAGGCTCCAAGTGCATCCGCGTGTGGCCATTCATCACCCCATTTGCCACATCTGTGTCCTCCAGCGTGAGAGCCGCTGGAGGCTGGACATCCAGCTCCTCCTGAATTTTTTCTAAGCTGCTCCCTATCTGAGTGAGGCTCACATAGTTAAAATGCCACTTCACTTTCTGAATGACGCTGTCTGCAAAAAGAGAGCACCCGAGGTGAGCAGTTCCATCACAAGGATGTTATAAGACAGTATGCACAAAATGAACTTTACATTTCCAAGCAAGCTAATGTCAGCCAGATTCTCAAGGTCGTTAAGCTACACGTAAAGGTTAAATGATGACTACATATCAGTACTAGTCTCATCAATCTCCCCAAAGCAGAGTGGTTAAAATGTGACAGGCTGTCTACAGAGAAGGCAACACCACCTTCCAGCACCGTGGTGACGAGGGAGTCAGGGGATAAGGACTTGAGCCTTGGCTCAGCCACTTGTGATAGTATAATCCTGGGCAACTCCCAGAATATTTCTAAGCTTAAAAAATGGGAACGGTTATTCTTGACCTGATTATCTCAAGAAAAGGCGTGTGAAAAAAAATTACATATGAATGTGAGTATGTTGTGCAAACTAGGATTATATATTTGAAAGATGTCGGTATTCTTTTATTTATGTTAGTATTAATTTATTGCCAAGTTTTCATGAATATTCGAAGCAGTTTCATACATACTGGCAGAGCGTGATCACTTCTAATTCTCCTATCAGTGTACTTTTACTCACGCTCCCCTCGATCAGTAACGAGCAACGTGGTGGGGCAGGTCTCCCGTCGGAGCAAGCCCGCCGCTCCAGAAGGAAGGCACATGCAGCGGTGAGGGGGAGGAGAGCACAGGCCACAGTTACAAATCAAATGATAGCCAAGGGACACTGCTGCTGTGACCTGTTTGGGGACAGCATATCCTCTTCACAGGAAGCTGGGCCGAGAGCAGCTATTTGACTAGAAGTCATGGGGAGACACGGGGGCAGAACTCTCAGTCTATGTCACAGGTCTCCCAGGCTGGGGCCTGCCTACCAGGAAGTTTCCCAGCACCTTCGGAGACACCAAAAGAGTGTGCTGGCCAGTAGCCCACATGAGGGACTGTGAGGGCTATGGCAGGATGTGAGGGCTATGGCTACAGCCAGAAAGCCAGGCGCCGGCCCTGCACCTGACGCCCAGACCACATGCTGCCAGCCCCTCACTCAAGAGCATCCTAGAGGCAGCGAATGTTTACATAGAGACCACAGATGTCCTCCCACTCCAGCTCACCTCCCGTTCTCCCAAGGGCTCGGAACTTGGCTCCCACAGGAGAAAAAAGTTCTCCCACCTAATCATCGTGCTGTTGGGCCCAAGCCCTGAGCACTGAGACCGCTGGCAGCACCAGAAAGCAGAGTCCTCCCCCAGAGCAGTGCTTCTCAGACCTCTGAGTGAAGGACCAGTTTTCTCTTATTTCTAAACTCTTGCAAACTGATACTTTGATAAACTGCAATAAAACATACTGCAGAAATGTCGATTTACTGTTAAAACTTCTAAATACTCATTCTCGCTTTCTTTACTTACCTAATGATGGAGCAAGTCCACACAGCACCCTCTGATCCTGCAGCTCTACAACAGGGTTGGCAAAATGATCGTACAGGGCCACAGAGAAAATATTTTAGGTCTCAACTCTGCTGGTGACAGGCCACAGCGCCGCAGGCTGACTGTGAAGGACGGAACATGCTATGGTCCACTTTATTTACAAAAACAGCTTCTGGCCCATGAACCACGGTTTGCTGACCCCTGCGCCCAAGGGCTGTGGTGAGTAACCTGTCCAGGTCTAAACATTCCTCCACCCTGCCCCCGGGCTCTGAGAGATGACAAGCCAGCCCGATGTTAAACCTCGAAGTTTCCAGGCTTCTTCCATCACTGTGAAATCTCATGATACACGGCTGTTCTCCAGTAATATTTTATTGCACCTCCAATGACTTTCCATGATGGTCAAAGCCAAATCTAAACTATAAACCTATACATGTGCCCCGCCGGTGTGGCTCAGTGGACTGAGCGTCGTCCCATGGACTGAAAGATCCTGGTTCGATTCCCGGTCAGGGCATGTGCCCGGGTTGTGGGCTTGATCCCCAGCAGGGGGCGTGCAGGAGGATGTTTGTCTCTAACATCAATGTTTCTATATCTCCCTTCCTCTCTCTCTGAAAAATCAATAAAAACATATTTTATAAAAATAAATAAATAAAGTAAACCTACACATGCCATGAGAGAGAACAGTAAATACAAAAGAGAGTTACAAACCAAATTCAAGAAAGGCATACGGCCTGGAAGCTAGGCCAACGCAGGTGGCGTCATAGGAAGCTGTGAATTCCCACCACAAGGTCTCCAGGAAGCAGAAGGCCATGGCTGCTGGACACCGGTGGGAGCAGATAGCCATGCAGGCCACATCCCCTGAAGAAGAAAAGCTGAAACAAAGGGTGACATCTACATGACCAGGAACAGACCCGGGATTTCCACCCTGCACCCAGACATAACCTTGCCTCAACTCTGGCCTTGCTTGGCCTTCAACAGTCCTGGAGCTGCTTGCTGCACATATATGTGTCCTCGGCTTGACCTACCCGGGACTGTGCCTTTCTTACAGTTCCTCTAAAATGCATAGCGGTATTTGCCACTGACACATGTGATCACTCTTACTTATTCATACATGAGGATTAATGTTCCATTAAAGGGAAGTAGCCTCGGACTTCTCTGCATCTTAGAGAAAAATAGTTTTCTTTGTAAGTTTTCATTGAAAGATTTTCTCACGTTAAATCACACTGGCATCCTGAAATAAAACCTACTCCTTCCTTTTCAGGCTGTCACACTATCATTCCAAGTTCTGGGGACTCTAGCTCCCCTGGCGGTGGTGTCAGCTGACTCCCACTCACTGTGGACTCTCTCCTCCAGTGTTTGTCATTTTGCTGAGAGCTCATCACCGTGGAGCCTGTTTTCTCCTGGAAGAAGCCCCGGAGGCCTGACTTATGGCACACTCTTCCAGAAAGGTCTGCATTTGCCTTGGCCTGCCGCTCCACAGTGCCATCAGTCTGGTACCAACACTGATGTGTGAACCTTGGCTTGGGAATTGCTAGCCTGTGGGACATACAAAGTATAAACTCAAACTCCAATCTGACACGAGGCACAGGAGCAGGGTGTCCATTTCTTAGGTGAGATTTTATTCTGTCTTCCCATTCAAAGCCAAATAGAGATGAGTTACCCCGGTATTGGTGAACAGACTAATTCTCCCCTCTCATTGCACTAAGACTATACCCTGATAAGAACCCCACGTTTATGCATGGCTCTTACTCCAACCCCTCACTCTACATAAGCTCAAGGGCCTCTCCCTCCCTGGGTGCTGAGACTCAAACCCTGACTTTCCTAGGACTGGTTCCCCAGGAGCCTCGGCGTCAGCTCACACACTTCCCACGTTGACATTCTGCTCCCCTCCTTTCTGGCACCTTGGGATTTATTTCTTTCAAGCTCAGCTACACTTGTTAAAATTTTATATATATTTACCCACATTTTTGGGTGTTTCTGGCAGAAGGGTTTTCAGGTCATATTGATCTATCACCTTTTTGTAATTGGAAGTCTCTATATAAAAACATTTTCAATTTTTAGAAAAGGATGACCTCCTCCCTGTACAAGGAATTTTCCAGCAGGGCCTAAGTCTCTCTGGGATGAAGGTGTACCTATTTGAAAGAGGACTCCTATCTGTGGGCTGAATTGTGTCCCTCAAAAAGATATGTTGAAGTCCTAACTCCTAATACCAGTGAATATGACCTTATTAGGAAACAGTCTTTGCAAGTGTAATCAAGATAAAATGAGGTCATAATGGATTAGGGCGGGCCTTCATTCATGACTGGTGTGAAATCTGGTCACAGACAGAAGGAAGAAGCCCATGTAACTCAGGAGGCAGAGACGGAGTGAGGCTTCTGGAAGACAGAGTGACAAGGACTGCTGGCACCCACCAGAGGTGCTGGAGAGGCACGGGAAGGATTCTTCCTTCAAGCATCAGAGAGAGCCCCGTGCTGCTGACACTCTGATTTCAGACTTCTGGCCTCCTGAACTGTGAGAGAATGAATCTCTGTTGTTTTAAGAGTTTGTGGTCATTTGTTATAGCAACCCTAGGAAAATAATTCAACTCCTTAACTACAAAATAAGCTATGGCACTGCCTACCTATAAGGAAAAAAGTCTGCTGCTTCTGTGAAAATGGTGACTATTAAATTCAAAATATAAATGAGTAGAACATTTTATACTCCACTTTCCAAAAAACTGAAATGCCCAGAAATTCATTTGAAGTCATACTTTTTTGTTCTTAACAGAGAAAAGGTTTCCTATCCGAGGTCCAGCATGAAGCCCCCTAGAATGTTACAGCATCACAGCACAATTGGAAGATGGTTACAGACACCCAGAGAAAGGGGTCATGGACTGGGCAGACACAGCTGAGTTGTTGCTCCTGAGCGCCCAAGGCCCACACCAGAGGGTGACGGCTGCGTGTGCCTGCCATCTGGCACCTCGCTGGGCCCCATCCCTTCTCACCTGACCCTACCACCCAGCCTGGAATCAGGCCTGGACTTTTCCTTTTGTTTTTCTGAGTCTGAATTCCCCTAAAAGGACCCCATCTTATTAAGTCAACTAAAAATTTATTGTTCAAGAGGACCAAAAGGAACTTGGGAAGTGAAGGCCTAAATGCTGGAAAGCAGGGATGTAAAATCTGCAAGCCACTCTGATCTTTCAAAACCTGCCTTACCCTGATCCCTCCATAGAATGGCTTTTTACTCTAAGTCTTAAAATATGAAATGATAAAACACATTAGGGTTAGGCCTCGGTGCCTGGTTACCTGTATTCAAATCCTGACTCTACCACTTACTAGCAGTACGACCCTTAAGTACGTCATTAACCTCCGTTTCTTTCTCTGTAAAACAAGTATAATATTATTGCCTACCTCATAAGCCCCAGAAGGCACTTATAATAACGGTGCCTGGCACAGAGAAAACACTCAATAATATTTGCTATTATTATTGAGATCATTGTAACCACTTATTCCTACTTGCACGGGAGCATTTTCACCACTGATTCATATAGTTTTCTATTTCCCTTGTTCCCTCATTAGACTTTAAGCTCCTTGAGAAGAGGAACCTGCTTGTGCTCATTTTTCACTGCCAGGCTCGTGGCATGTAATTAAAAATTTTTTATTTAAAATTTTTTTAAAAGTGAGATCAAAAGAGCAAAACCTGAAGTCAAGTCTTTTTTCTTTTTTTGGTTTTCTCACTCTCCTTTTCCTTCCCTGACATTTTAATCTAGTATCTCTGCCCTCCTCACCATTTTTCACCCCTGCATCTACTAAACTAAAGGCATGAACCCTGGTCGAAGCAGGGTCTTCCGATGCCCAGGGGCACTCCACTAACAAGGCGGCAGCTGGAGCAGCAATGCTGGGGGCTCCCTGGACTCTACCGTAAACACATACACCCTTCGACCACTGTCTGATGTTAGATCTACTTTTAACACAACATGTGATCAGCATAATGTTACCTGAACCTATGAGTCAAAGTCACCCAGACTTTGCTGGTGTTCTGGAAAAAAGACCGTGCTTGCTTACTGTATACTGAAGTCCCGTCCTTGTGCAGAACCTCGACCTGGATACTGGGCCAGTCGCAAGGCTAAAGTCTTGAGCCGTCTCCTGATTTCCAGAAACTCTTGGGTATGGTAAAAGTCAGTGGAGGCAGAGAGGGGCAATCCATCCCTCACCCTTACCACACAGGCAAAGAGGATCATGGACATGGTCCACAAGAGAAGTCATGAGGACACCTGAGGAAAGCAAGGTCACCTTGTTACGGAGGGCCAAGACACCCTGCCCTCAAAATGTACGGTTTCACCCTCACCCCCAGTAACTACAAATGTTGCTTCTATTACCACCTTGCCCTCTATGGCTATGTCACTCCCAATTTTCCTCCCTTCATTAATGATCCTCTCTGTCCCTCTTTACTTATAACCCTCCTTTCCTTCTCTCAAATGAATCTCTCCTTTTTGATTAAACCAACCAGGATAAAGGAGAAAGGAATAGAGAAGCAAGAAAGCAGGACCAGAGGGCTCAGGAGCAATAGCAATGACACTGGGTAGCAGGACACAGGTAGCAAGACGACCGCAAAGGGAAAGGACGTGCCTGACACTGAAGCAGCAGAGATGGGGTCCAGTGACCTGTGCATTTCAGGTCCCCAGAGAGGGATGGGCTGAGCGGTTTAGCTGCCATATCCTCACCTGCAGTAGAGAGATTCTAAGCATCTAACCTAAAGCAGGTAGCGAAAGCAGAGGGAAAAATGGAACTGAGAGAGTATAGTATGTCCTCCTGAATTTCTGCAAATTTTTGATTCAGAGCCAGTCTTCAAAATGATGACTGAGCTCCTACAGATGGTTAATGGATATCATTTAGTAAATTAGATTACAGTAAGATACTAAATATTTGGCCTTGATACATGAGCACCATTAAGAAACAAAAGGAAACAGATTCTGAGCCCTCATGGTGCCTTTGGCAAATTAGAACAAGGTACTTCTTCGAGTAGAAGCAGCCTGGACTGGTTCTGGGGACCTACCCTGGCTGGGTTTCCGCACCATCTGTTAACTCTGCAGGTGCTTGTACGGGGCATGCCATGCACATCTGCAGTCGCTGCCCTGAAACCAGGGATTGGTGAGGTGGCCACTGCAACTTTAATGGATCTTTCCACTCACCCACACATGCCATTTCGCAGATCCTGTTTACCAGCTCCTCTACTTGAGAGGATGTGAATAGGGTCGTACCCGGGTGGGTTTTTCTTCCAAAGAACTCTAGGGATGTAACCTTATTTGGCATCTCAGGATGTGAGCCACAGGAAAGGGGAGCCCCTAGGATACACATCACCTCTGTGCCTGTGTATTCTTTGCCTATATCTGCCCCTCTTAATTGTGATGGTGGTTACAGGAATCTACATGTGGTAGAACTAGACACATTATATCAATGTTAATTTCCTGGATCTGATATTATACTATAGTTACATAAGATATAATCAAAGGGGACAACTCAGTGAGGGGTGTATGGGACCCCTCTATACCACCTTTGCAACTTCCTGTGACTATAATTATTTTAAAATAAAAGTTGAAATAAAAAGCATTGACTTAAGGTCTTTATACCACTTACTTAAATTATGCCCATACTTTTTATGTTCAAATATCATTTTTAAATATCTCTACTAGTAGAATAAACTTTTCTGCTAATTAATTGTAGTTCTGATGATTTATGCATGAACTCTGAAGGGTGTGTTTTATAGTGAGCAGCTCCAGAACCACATGACATCTTCAAACTGGAAGGTACTATCATCTCAGGAATCATTAAAATAAAAGCCACTTGCAGATAACTAATATTTAGTTTTAAACAGTGGAATCTGGGAAATCATACAATTACAGAAAAAATATTATCAATTTCACAAGGACAAAAGCAGCCTCAGAGTGCTCACACAGGGACACCACTCTGTCTTCCAGGTCTTACTAGTTCCCTCTACATGCCAGGGGACCTTGTAACCTGCACCATGCTTGCCACATATTAGGAAGCCCTCAATAAAACCTACTAAGCAAACCAATGAATGAATGACCTAAGGGGCTGCCTTATTGTTGCTCACTGAAACAAGAAATGTAGGTTTGCAGACCATGCCACATTCCATGACATATTCTGATCTATACAGGATGGGGCAAAAGTAGGCTTACAGTTTTGTATGGAAAATAATACAATAATTAATAAATAATAATACAAGAATAAACTCTGTTTCGCGTACTCACAACTGTAAACCCACTTTTGCCCACCCTGCCTTTTGAACATTTCTCCACAATGAATTTCTACTTGGAAAGAAAAAGAGAAAGAGGTCTATAAAGGTGGAATTTCTTAAAAGTAGAAACTGAAGTAGTAATCAAATATACAGCACCCAAGGCACTACTAGGTTTGATAAATATTTTCATCTGCCTCTTGCATGTCCTAAATCCTCTTCTCAGCTCTATTTATAAACTGCTCGTGTTATAGATAATCCCTATTCTACCAGCAAAGGCTTTATGCCTAGTTGGAGGCCACACTTGTTCCCAATTTTTTTTCTCTCCCCTTTATCCTTAACCCTCTCCCAAATCTCTGCCACATTTACTCCTCCTCCTCTGTCCAAAAGAAGAAAGAAAATGGGAAAGAAAGAAACCCAGTATTAAATGACCAGGCCTTGCAAAACCGTAATTTAAACAAGCAAAACAAGTTTCATTTGGCACACAAATATTCAAACACAAGTTTTCACCATAAGGCATATTGCCCACTCCTCAATATACACAATACAGAAAACAAACGAGTTATGTCACCCTTATTGAATTCACTTTCAGTCACAGGACTTAAGATGTGTAGATCACGCAGGCTCCTCGGTTCCACTTTGCTTGGGGATGGGGTGGGGAGCAGGGTAGAGGTCCACTGTCATTTGTTAAGATCTAAGGAGAGTAGGGGACTGAGCTTGATAGCAACTAAGATTATATGCCGGCCACTGTGCTACGAACTTTTACATTGACAATGTTATTTAATGCTCTAACAATGAGGTAGGCATAGTCTACACTGGACAGGTGGGAATATTGTAGGTGCAAGGTTCAAGTGGCAGAGCCAGGATTCAAACCCAAACTTCATTTCTCGAAATATTCGAAAGCCTATCATCTTTCCACTACACAACTGCTTCTCAAATTCAATCTTTGGTATTACAGCTACTCTATTTCTCCAAAACAATTCCTTCTCCTAGGGCACTGATACTCAAAACTAATCAGAGGCCTGTTAACAGGAGCCTCAGCCTAGGGTTTCACTTGTTACAACTGCTCCTTAGTCATTGTATGTATTACTTTTAATTAAGTCAGTTTTCCTCTCTATCACCTTTCGGATGCAGTTGATCTCTCAAGGCTCTTTGAAGAAAACTTTGGGACCCCAAAATGTCCTTTGTGTGTAAACACAAGCACTTAGAGCTATAACATCTAAAACAAATGCTATTAGGTTCATTTTAATTCTTTTTAGCAATATTAAACCACTTTCAATTATTTACATTTTCATTTCGCTAAAATTATCTTTAGCAGGATTCTTTGTCAAATTTAATGAAGACTTACCCTACCCAGCGGTTGAGCTTTATTGTTTTTTTTCTTTTCTGACCATGTCACAGATTTCACCAACTACTTTTCATCACTGGTAATAGTCTTTTGTGGCTTTGATGTCTTCGATCCTAATTTTTCTCCGGCGTGTTTATCCCTCTGGCTCTGGAGGTCTAGATGTACACCTACACTTGAACAGCACCTCCTCCTACACCTGCCGTTCAGAAAAGCTGATCCAGTGCATCCACTATCTGGTAAACCAAATCTTATAACACTTGCACGCTGAGAGGTTTGCTATTAAAATTAAACAACACTCTTGACATGAGCTTCGAGGTTAATTAAGGAAACAATCGCCCGCTCTCTCTTTTGGACACACCCCGTCTCCTCCCACAGGAAGCGGCGCTCTACGTGCATCTAGAAGCTAAGGTTCCAGCAGGTGCGCGCCGCCGGGGGCGCCCGGAGTCTCGAGAGCAGCGGGCAGACGAAAGGGAAGACAGGTGGTTCTGGGATGCCCCCCACAAAGCCCGGTGGGGCTCCGCTGGGCCTCAGGGAGGGGCGAGCCCGGAATCGCCTCCACCTCCAGACCCGCCCTGCGCCACGCCGGACCCCGCCTGCTCTCGGCTAACGGGCCACTACGCCCGCCTCCGCCCGCTGGCCCTCACCTCTCCCGGACCGCGGCCTGGGGAGTCAGCAGCCTCCCTCCGAACCGCGGAGCCACGCGCAGCCTCCTCCGCTACCTTAGCCTACAGGGCGGACCCACCCCAGGTCACTGGCGGACAGGAGCAGGTAGCCTACAGTGCGCATGCGCGAGCCTTCAGCTTCCATTCGCTGCTGCTAAGCAACATCTGCACCTAAACCGACCAATCCCAGCGTGCCTTCATCGCCCTTCCCCGTAAGGTCGTGAAAGAAGTGGTTCTTAAAGGACTGCGACCCAAATACACAGGGGGCGTGGCTGGCGCGCTTCTCCCAACTCTTCCCATTTCCTGGCTCTCACCCGCTGGAATTTGAGGTCCAAGCCTGTGTTTCCACGTCCGGAGGTGAGAGGAGACTTCGCAATCTAAGCTCAGTTTCTGCTGGAGTAGCAGACAGGACTGACCTGCAGAGTCGAGGAGGTTCAACGTGAAGGCGCGACACGCCCCGGGCGTGGGTTCCGACGTCCACACGGCTGGGCAGTAGGCCCCAGATAGGCAAACCAAAGAGCACAGCCTCCCGCCAGCCTGGATGAGGTGCCAAAGTCTAGGGACACACCCCAGGCCGGGTCGGTGGCACTCACAGATGGATGGTCGACTCAAGGGAGAATGGGAAGAGTTCGTCTATTTATTCTTTAAACAAATTTTGAGCACCTACTATGCGCCAGGCTCTACAGTGGGCACGGCGGACATAGCGAGGAACTCCTGACACTAAAAACGGTGTGAAGAGAGGTGGGCAGAGTGAGAGCACCCAGCAAACAATTAATTACACAACCCATATTTAAATACAAACTGAGGTCTGTGCTCTTCAAAGGGGTGCAAGGTTTTAAAGAGAATTTACGGGAGCTTCTGGCCTGGACTTTGCCGTTCAGGGAGGCCTCTGAGAACGTGACACTAGCTTAGTAGCTAACTAGACAAAGGGAAGAAGAGTGTTTCAGACAGAGGGAAAGGTATGTATAAAGAACTCCGTGTGGAAGGCAACAGGACTCCTTGAGGGATGAAAAGAATGTGGCTGGGGAGCACAAGGGGAGTTAGTATTTAATAGGCACAGAATATCAGTTCAGCAAGATGAGAAAACCTTGGAAATGGATGGTGGGGATAGTTGCACAACAGTGGAAATTCACTAAATGCCACCGAATTGTACATTTAAAAGTGGTTAAAATGGTAATTTTTGTGTTATGTCAATGTTGTCACACACAAAATCGAAATGAAATTCAGACTTTAGAGAGTAAAGGAGTAAAGTGAGAGTTCGAGAGAGACTAGAAGAGGTAAGACTGTGTAGGATCTTGAAGGCCATGGTAGAAAGTTTCGGACAGTGGAATACTGATCAAATTTGCATTTTGTAAAAATCACTTTGGCTTGTCCGCCAGTGTGGCCAAGTGATTGAGCATCAACCCATGCATCAAGAGGTCGCCAGTTCAATTCCTGGTCAGGACATATGCCCAGGTTGTGGGCCCGATCCCCAGTGGGGGGCATGCAGGAAGCAGCCAATTGATGTTCTCTCTCATCCATGTTTCTGTCTCTCTCTCCCTCACTTCCTCTCTCTCTCAAAATCAATAAAGGAAAAAAATTTTAAATTTAAAAATATTTTTAAATCACTTTGGCAGCTGAAGTTAAGACCAAAATGGAGAAGATTTGTGGAAGCTGTGGTCCGACCAGGTGGGAAGCCACCTGGGCAAGAGAGGATGAATCTAGAGTTTGGACCAGAGCAATGGTGACAAGGAGGAGAACTGGGCAGGCTTCAGAGAAATGTAGGAGCAAAATCAACATGACTTGGTGATGAATTGGATGTAAAAAGGTGACAAAGTAGCTTCAAGGATGATGCCACTATTCAGCCCGAGTGAATGGATAGATGGTAGAGGGATTCATAGATATGGAGAAGACTGGAAGATCTGATTTTGGAGAGAAGACCAGTCCTTAGTTCCATCGAAGACAAGTTGAATTTGAGTCACCTTTGAGATTTCTGACTGGGATGTCAATGTCAGCAGTTGAATTTACAGGTTGCAGTTCCATGTAAATATCTGGGTGGGACATAGCCTTCTGGAAATCTTTGCCACATGGGTGATGCAGAGAAAAATTACAAAAAACAAAACAAGAGAGTTATGATAGAGTCCAAGATGACCTCCAGGGGTCCCTGCCTCCTGGTATTCATGCCCTTGTATAGTCTCCTCCCATATTGAGTCAGGGTTGGCATGTCTGACAAGTGATCATGAGGCTAGGTCGGAAAAGGCACACCCAAGATAAAACGGGACTGGGTTAATAAGAGACTGAACACCCTGTAGTATATGTGCCAGAAGAGAGGCTAGGATTCCTCTCAAAGAGCATTCACATAGGAGAATACAGACCTGTTCTTCCCACCCCAGGCCATGAAGTACAAGGTTCTGGCCTAAATGGGGAGGAAAAATTGGCATTAGGCCCATGAAAATGCTTTCAAATATGGCGCTTGGAGCTCCCAGAACCTGCAGTGTGAGTGCTTTAGAATAGGGCCTTGTGCCCTCTAAGTGGTGCAATTGGTATGTCTCAGGCACCACAGTAGACTGAGCAAAAGGGGCGAGATGTACCTTAAGTCCTAGCCCTCCTCTCCAATTATTGGTCATTTGGCTCCAGCCTCCAGGGTTTGTTCCAGGCCTCTTCAGTTCTCCATTTCCAGGGTCACACCCACAACTACTGCATCACCACTGAAGAGCTCCACCTGTCCAGCAGTTCTCTGAATTCCTCCCATTGTTCTCTGATCTGCAGAAGCCTCTAGTCCACTTTTTCTACTTTGTTTTATTTATCACCTTCCTCCAGGGTTTCCTTCCCCATCAGTTGAAAGTCCAGTGTCCACCACTTGCGGTACACATTGTGTCACACCTTCCTGTCACACCTGCCTGGAAGCACTCCAACTCTGGAAAAATCCAACCTTCTTCCTTCTCTGAATCTCTCCTGGGCTGTAAGTGCTGCTGAACACAATCTCACAACCACACAGGTCAGTGCTATGTTTAAGACCTCTGGTTGGGATGTCAATGTTGACAGTTGAATTTGCAGGTTGCAGTTCAACATAAAGGTCTGGTGTTGACATAGCCTTTTGAAAGTCATCACTGCTACTGGCGGTCTCAATCAGGTCATCAACACTGCCTAGCAGTTGTGTTTGCCAGGTTGGCTCTCCAGTTGTCCCCAACACCAACTCAAAATTTCCTGCAGCCCATGGGCTGGTCCCACACCCAAGTGTGGCGGATAAAAATCAGGAGGATACCTCAGCTGGGAAGGTCCTTCCGGAGGACTGAGGGGTCCCCGTCCCACACCAGGTGCCCCGCTCAGGGTTCCAGTGTGAGGAAGAGAAGTCCCCATAACTTCTGGCTGGAAAAACCAGCGGGAACTGAGGCTCAGAGAAGCTGAAGCGGCTGGAGCCCCAGGCAGCTCCCTAAAGGGCCCGCGCGCAAACTTATCGGACTCTCTCCCTCTAAGCTTGGAGGGGAGGCAGCTCGAGGGGCACCAGAGTCATACAGAGAAGAACTGAGCTGATTGGCACTGGAGCGAAGGCTGGAGAGGGGGCTTTCTCCGGGAAAAATGTGCTGTCAGAGGCCTTTGTTCCTTTGGTGAGCCCTTCCTTCCCTGGGGCGGCAGACAGTCGCCATATCTGGGACTCCAGCAACCTGGCTCACACTGGTAGCCCCGCCCTGGTGACTCCCTGAGGCCCACCCCACCCAACTTTCAAGCCCACCCAAGTTGTTGCCACTTGCTTAGCCATAGGATTGGCCTGTCTTGAATCCTGCTTCAGGTTTTTCCTAAATTCTTTCAAACGAGCAGCATCTGGTCTCAGCTAGCCCCATACCTCTCATTAAGTAATACACTGAAACAAACACAGGGAGGCAGCCAAAATGAGGAGACAAAGAAACAGGTCCCAAATGAAAGAACAGAACAAAACCCCAATAAAAGAAATAAGCGAAAGGGAGATAAGCAACCTAACAGATACTGAGTTCAAAATACTGCTTATAAGGATGCTCAATGAACTTAGTGAGAACCTCAGTGAACTTAGGAAGGGCCTCAAAAGCATAAAAAAGGACCATTTAGAAATCATGGATACACAGTTAGAATTGAAGGAGGCATTAACTGAAATAAAATAATTTACACAGCTTCAATACTAGAGTACATAAATCCAAGGAGCTAACCATCGATTTGGAATATAAGGAAGCAAAAAACGCCCAATCAGAACAGCAAAAAGAAAAAATCCAAAAAAATGAGGATAGTGTAAGGAGCCTCTGGGACAACTTCAAGCGTGCCAACATTTGCATCTTGGGGGTGCCAGAAGGAGAAGAGCATGAACAAGAAATCGAAAACCTGTTTGAAACAATAATGGCAGAAAACTTTCCTAACTTGGTGAAGGAAACAGACATACAAGTCCAGGAAGCACAGAGAGTCCCAAACAAGATGAACCCCAAGAGGCCCACACCAAGACACATCATCATCAAAATGCAAAAGGTTCAAGACAAAGAGAGAATCTTAAAAGCAGCAAGAGAAAGGCAGCTAGTTACCTACAAGGGAGTTCCCATTAGGCTGTCAGCTGATTTCTCAAAAGAAACTTTGCAGGCCAGAAGGGAGTGGCAAGAAATATTCAGAGTGATGAAAAGCAAGAACCTACAACCAAGATTACTCTATCCTGCAAAGCTGTCATTTAGAATCGATGGACATATAAAAACTTTCCCAGACAAGAAAAAGTTAAAGGAGTTCATCACCACCAAACCGTTATTATATGATGAAGGGTCTTTTTGAAGAAAAAGATAAAATATATGAACAAACAAAATGGCAATGAATACATATCTACCGACAATGGAATCTACAAACAAAATGAACACGTAGAACAGAAACATTCTCATAGATACAGAGAACATTTTGTTGGTTGCCAGTTGGGAGGGGGGTTGGGGGAATGGGTGAAAAAGGTGAAGGGATTAAGAAGTACAAATTCATTGCTAGACTGACAAACCTCAAAAGTAAAGGGTTGGGGGGGGTGGTGGGAAGAAATAAACCAAAGAACTTATATGCATAACCAATGGACACAGACAATAGTGTGGGAAAAGGTGGGAGGGGGGCGGGAGTGGGGAGGAGGGGGTCAATGGGGGAAAAATGTGGAACATCTGTAATACATTTTACATCCAACAATAAAGATTTAAAAAAAAAAATTCCTGCAGCCTCCCCAAATCATCCACTTTTCACCCCACTCCCACCCCCCGCGCTCTCAGATGCCTCCTTCACTGAGGAAAGAGCAACCATTAAAGTAATGCCTCTTGCCTGGCCAGTGTGGCTCAGTGGTTGAGCACTGATCTATATGCATCAAGAGGTCACCAGTCCGATTCCTGGTCAGGGCATATGCCCAAGGTTGTGGGCCTGATCCCCAGTGGGGGGCATGCAGAAAGCGGCCAATCCATGTTCTCTCATCGATGTTTCTCTCTCTATCCCTTCCTCTCTAAAAATCAATAAAGAAAAAAATTTATAAAGTAATGCCTCTCAGCTCCCACCAACTTCTGTCCCTCCAACTACCACCTTCTTTCCCTTTTCCCCTTTACAACCAAACTCCTTGGGAAAGTGGCCTGTGTTCGAAGACTTGCTTCAACTTTCCCTTAAATTCTCAGTTCTCTGCAGTTCTGACTTCTGCTTCACCATCACTGCAATTTCCCTCGTTAAGGACATCAAAGCTCTAGCTTTTATCTTGCTTGACCTTTCAACAGCATTTATCATTGCTGTCCTATCTCACACCCACCTGGATCTCCTCTTACACCTTTAGTTTCTTTCTCACCTCATTCTCCTTTATAGCTCCTATTCCTCTACCATGAGGGAAATCAACACACTCTCCCTGGGTAGTCTCATCCACTGCGTGCTTCTCATCAGATCCCACAAGTGATGCTTCTCAAAGCTTAACTGCCAGGATAGCCCTTGGCCCCGAGTTCCAGACCCAAATAGCCAGCCATAGACTTCAACTACTCCATTGAACATCACTTCAAACTGTACCTGTCCACAGCTGAATCTGTCATTGTCATTTCCAGTCCAATTTCTCCACTATTCCTTGCCTTCGTGAAAGGCCTCACTCACCTCTCAGTTGCCCAAGCCAGAACCCAGAAGTTATCCCTAATTCCTCCTTCTTCATCCCTCCCCTCATTAAGTCATGAAGGCCTGTCAAGTCTACCCCTAATGTCTTTCAAATGCATACACTTTTTTTTTTTAATGTTTTTATTGATTTGTTAGAGAGCAATTTGTCATTGCTCCCACCATTTCTGGCCTGCACACCTGCAGCAGCCTTCTCACTGTGCTTTTTGCTTCTCATCTGATTGCCTTACCTGCCTTTCATCTTTCACTAGGAAAACTCTAACATTTCTCCTCTGCCTAAAACCACCCATGGCTCCCACTGCTCCGAGGAGAGAGTCCAGACTCTGGACATATCACCAGCACAACCTCCACTTCCTCTTTATGCTGAGACATCTATTCTGCTGGAGGGCTGTCTCTGTATGCTGGACCAGGCTGGTTGCCTGCATCTGCCCCACCCTAACACCATCTCATGTTATTGTGAATCCTCACCTGAAACAGGAGTGGGCCTGTACCCTGATCCTGAAGTTCCTCCTCTACCCACTGTTTTCTGTAGAACCTCTGGGAACTTTTCATAAGGAGGAAGCCTGGTTGGGATAATAGCATAGACTTTGGAACCAGGAAACCCTGAGTCCTGGCCCAGCTCACACATGGTGTCCCACCTCTCTCACCGGGTTTACTTCTCTGTGGAATGGGATGAAAGCTGCCTCCTCACAGGGTTAAATAAAAGGATTGTGGAGGGAAATCCCAGCAAAATCAGATGAGGCTGCTCTGGATAAGGGCAATCACTCAGGGAAATAAAGCTCTAGAAGGCAGAATAACCACTACCCCCCCCCCCACACACACACACACATCTTTTTTGAAGAGTAAAGGCTTCCAAGATCTTCCTCCTAAATTATGTGGTTGCTCACTTTGTGCTGCAGTGAAAACCAACCTTGTTCCTATGTCCAACATGGATGGGCTGGACAAGCCAGAAAACAACCACTTGAGAGTTTTAATGGTTGCCAACAGTAAAAACGTGGCTCAGGAGTGTAGGTCCAGCTTCCTCCCCGTATCTTGCAGCAAATCACTTCTCCTAGGCAGTGATGGGATAGTGGTTAAGAGTAAGGATTCTAAAGCCAAACTGCCCGTGTTTGGATACTGGCTTTGCTCTTGGTAGCCACGAAACCTTGAGCAGGTTAACTTATATTTTCTCATCTGTAAAATGGAGAAAATAATGGTACTTTTTAGGGTTGTAAACCTAATACAGCATTATTATTGGACAAAAGAAAAAAGGCATATATGTGAGTTTCTCCCTCAGCAAAAAATAAAGCTCATACCAGTGTTCTTGGCCCCGTGGGGTTTGGCTTGGGAGGAGGCAATGCCCAGGGTTCAGATGCAGACCTGAAGGCATGAGTGAAGTTGGAAGAGGGGTGGACTTGGAGCCAGCTAGCTGGGTTCCAGCCAGGAGTGTCCCCAGCACAGTGCTCCTGCATAAAGACAGCACAAAGAATGTTAGATGCTGCCCTGGCGGGTGTGGCTCAGTTGGTTGGAGTGTTGTCCCATACACCAAAAGGTGGCAGGTTTGGTTCCCGTCAGGGTACATACCCAAGTTGCGGGTTCAACCCCCAGTAGGGGCACAAGCAGAGGCAACCAATGATGTGTCTCTCTCACACGGCTGTCCCCCCTCCCTCCCACTCTCTCTAGAAATATATATATATATATAAAACATGTAAAATTTATATATATATATATATATATATATATATATATATATATATATATATATATATATATACACACAATGGTAAAAACATCCTTGGGTGAGGAATAACAACAAAAAACTCTTTAAAAAAAAAAAAGAAAAATGGCAAGGAACTCAAGCCCGCCAAGGATTGCTTTCCAGACTGCGCAAACGCAAAGTATCTGCCAGCAACCCCTGAACCCCGAAGACCCGCCCAGGGGACGCCGGGCGTCCCTCCTGCGCGCCCAATCACAGACGACGTTCGCCGGTTCCGTCTCCAGCGGGGGACCCAATCAACGTGGAGAGCGGAAGCCCCGGCCGCTGCTGGGTCCCGGCGGCGCCCGCGGAGCAGCTGGAGCCGCTGGTTGGCTCTGCTCCGGCCGCGGCGGGGTTCACCGGCCCGAGGCCGGGTTCCAAGCTGGCCCCCCGGAATGTCGGTGGCCTTCGTTCCCGACTGGCTGAGAGGCAAGGCGCAAGTCAACCAGGAGACCATCCAGCGGGTGAGCGCCAGCGCGGGCCCAGGAAAGGGGCTTCTTAGCCGGGAACCGGAGGGGCTGCGGGCGGCTTCCCAGCTGAGATGTCCCTGGGGTGTTGACTCCGGGGTAGGAAGGAACGAGATGGAAACAAAGTCAGCAAAGTTGCGGGGGCAGGACAGCCTGACACTGGCCTGTGAGGCCTTGGGCAGGTTGTGAACGTCTTGATGTCGTCTGGCCCCCGCCTTTTCTCTGATCTTTCAGCTCCTGGAGGAGAATGACCAGCTAATCCGCTGTATCGTGGAGTATCAGAACAAAGGCCGGGCGAATGAGTGCGTCCAGTAAGTCCCCACCTACTTCCTCTAATTTTTTTTTTTAATATGTTTTTATTGATTTTTTAGAGGGGGGAAGAGATAGAAACATCCATTCGGCTGCGTCCTGCACGCCCCCCACAGAGGGTCGAGCCTGCCACCCGGGCATGTGCCCTGATCAGGAATCGAACCTGGACCTCCCAGTTCATGGGAGGATGCTCAGTCCGCTGAGCCACACCGGCGGGGCCTCCCTTTACTTTTGAGTGGATCAGAAGCCAGTGTGGTGATACTGAAGCTGTCCTGACCTAGCAGTCTCGGGTTGATTACAGATGAGGATTAGAGAGGTTGCTTACCTGCCCATCACCATTGGGTAGTACATTGTGAAGCTTGGAGTCATATGTAGCACCCTCCTCAAAACTTGAATTATTCTCATTGCAAAGCCTTCTCCACGGGAAGCCATGTCAGACAATGACAACAGGTTGGGGAGGGAAGGGGAGAGAAGCTCACAGAAAAGTAGTCTTAGGAGATGAGACTGCTTTCTCTCTAGTTTTGAGAGGTGGTTTATTAAAGCTGGGAACAGTGAAATAAGGAAGGGCTTAGGATAGAAGAAGCCAAAGGAGAGAGCCTAGGCAGGCTATTTTGGCTCACTGGAAAGTCAGAGAAAAGGGGCCTTGGACACAGGTTTAGGGGGTTAGCCCAGATGAGCTGCCACTGCCCATTGCTGCCTTGGTTGCAAGTCTCCTGGGGTCCCTTAGAGTTTAGGAGATGGCAGCCTGAGAGGGAAGAAGGGGGTGGGTGAGCATCTGGGAGAGCATGGGTGGTTGCTTTCTTATCATGGATCCCTGGCTCATCCTTTATCTGTTAAGTTGGGTGGAGTCAGACTATTTGGTTGCTAAATTCCATCCCATTTCTTACTTTGTAACGTTAACACACAAAGACCAATGAAAAATTTCCAAGTTAAGCCAAAGATAAATTCTGCAGAGTAACTTAATGCGCTTTAGTGAGAGAAAATAATCTGTTTTCTAAATTTAGTCCAGGAATTAATGCCATTTGTTATAGAAAAATATTTTATTGTTACTGAAGTCACATTTAAGAAAACCATGCTTTTGCCACCCCCTAAAAATCACCTACAATTCCTCACTGAACAGCTCAGAGGAATAGTGGAGATAATCCATCTTTGGGTAAGTTTTTACATTTGACTATGGCATTTGGTAATTTACTCTTTTACAGTTTATAGTAAACACTCATTTTTTCTATATGGAAAATAGTTGCAAAACATTCCATTTGGTGCAGTGATTCTCATCCTATGGATAAGAAAGTTATTAAAGTCTCTTAGTGGGCTTTTTCACATTACTCTGGCCATTTTCCCGTGCAGGGAACTCTACTCCCTGATTGAGAATCGCTCCTATAGGAAGCACACATGAAGTATTTCATCCTTGCTTTAAGTTTGTTCAGATATCTCATAAGTGCTACTGAGTACTAGGCACTGTTTTAGCTACTGGGAAATCAGTACCAAAACAGCCGCTCTGCTGGGTGGAGCTTACCTTCTGACACTGGAATCTAGAGGGAGGAAATTCTATAATTAGGCACATGCTAATAACTCTTTGAATAAAAATAAAGTGGGGTAAAGGGGTGCTGTTTTTTTTTTACAGGATATCTGTGATGTGACATTTGAGTAGATATTGAGGTTAGGGAGCCAGCTGTGCAGGTATGTGAGGCAGATGCATGAGTTGGAAAAGCCCCCAGGCTGGAGCATACTCCATCTTTAACTGTCAGCAAGGAGGCCACTGTAGCCAGAACTCAGTGAGCAAAGGGAAAGTGGTAGGAGATGAGATCAGAGAGGTAATTAGAGGTTCCGATCATGTAGGGCCTTGTAGGTTACAAGAAGGTCTCGGCTTTACTCAGAATGAGGTGGGAGTCTTTGGAAGGTACTAAACAGTGCTATGACATGATCTTAAATTATACAGTGATTACTCAGGCTGCTATGTGGAGAATAGAATAGGGGTACAGAGGTAGAGCAGGGGGACCAGTTAGGAGATTGGTTCAATACCATAGTCCAAGCAAGAAGTGATAGTGGCTTGGCCTAGAGAGGTGGCTATGGAAGTAAGTGAGAACAGGTAAGATTCTGGATGTATTTTCCTTGAATGTATTAAACAAGTAAGTTAACACTGAATCATCATCCAGTCTGGATGAGCCTTTCCACTAGAGGAGGTAAATTCTTTTCCAGTTTGTTCATGTTCAATAAAAACAAGACTAATTTTTTTGTTAATCCTCACCCAAGGTTATTTTTCCATTGCTTTTTAGATAGAGTGGAAGGGAGGGAGGGAGGGGGAGAGAGAATCATCGATGTGAGAGAAACACATTGATTGGTTGCCTCCCAAACGACTCTCGAACCTGCAACCCAGGTACATGCCCTTGACAAGGAATCAAACCCGTGACCCTAAGGTCCGAAGGCTGATGCTCTAACTGCTGAGCCAGACTGGCCAAGGTAAGACTAATGTTTGCCTCTTTTTCACCCACAGGTACCAGCATGTGTTACATAGAAATCTCATTTATTTGGCTACCATTGCAGATGCGAACCCTACCAGTCCTTCAAAAGTAATGGAATAACCTTCCGCCTGGCTGTTGTGAGGAGTAATTGAATGTAATCCACTTCATGTGAATTGGAGACAGGATCTTTACCAACTGAACTGCTGAAAACATGAAGGAAATCTCTGGCTCTTTTTAAAGGAAATGTGAAGAAAGCTACTAAATTAACTGTATTTCAGTGTAAATATTTATTTTATTGATTAAGCAGATTGCCTCAATTAAGTTGCCTCCAGGTATTTTCCTTCCTGAAATGCGTGTGTTTGGATAACAGGTATCATGGGCAGGGAAACTAAGCCTGCTTTCTTAGCTTCAACCCGAAGAGGAAACCGAGCAGCTGCCTGGCAATCAGAAGGAACCGGGGAGGCTCCCAGCTGAGGCCCTGCCAGTTGGACATGTAACTGCGTTTCCCCTTCGACCAGTTTGGAGCTCTGGACCCCTGCCTGCTCTTTTCAGGTTGCTTCGAAATAAAGTTCGTCTTATCAGAAAAGACTGATACTAAGGTTTAGAAATTTTCATGTAATTAGTGTTCCATTGGGTTTCCCAGGAAAACTAAAAGTACTTAAAAATATATGTAACAACAGTATCACTGCAAACAAAACTAATAGTAATTCCTAATTATTATCTAATATCCTCTAACAATAGATAATGTTATGGGGAGAGGAAATACCTTTTTCCTTCTGTTCTTTTAAAGCTCTCAGCTGGGGCTCCATAACAAATGACGTTAACAAAAGAAAAGCATGCAAATCTATTTAGTAAACATTTTACGGTTCATGGGAGCCTTCATGAGGAAATGAGACCATTTTTAGACAAGGTTTGATGAAGAATGGAAAGTCTAGGTCAAGGGGGTATGAGCTAAGTGTAGAACTGGGGGAACTTAGCTATGCCTGTTTGTTCAAATTCTCCCTGTCCTTCAGTCTTCAGAGATAAGGATGCTGTTTTGAGTACAGGGAGGGCATCCCTCATATGAGGGTCTCCTGAGTCCCTGCATCTCCCATTTCTCAGATTTTTCAGCTTAAAATATTCAGTATGCCAAGGTGACATATTTTGGAGTAGTGTGTCCTGGACCCTGTCAATGTCACTTTTTTCCCCTCATCTAAGGATATTTTTCCATTTATCATTAGATAGAGTGGGAGAGAGGGAGAGAGAGACAGAGAGAAACATCAATGTGATAGAGCCACATTGACTGGCTGTCTCCCACACAACCTGACTAGGGCCAGGGATAAACCGCAACTGAGGTACATGCCCTTGACCAGAATCGAACCCATGACTCATTGGTCTGCGGGCGGACTCTCTAACTACTGAGCCTAACTGGCCAGGGCAATGTTCACTTTTCTTTAATTATCACAAAATGTCTTTTTGCTGATTTGTTTGAATCAGGATCCAAACAAGAGTCACATATTACATTTTGTTGATGTCCCTTAAGTCTCTATTTCTTTGCCATTTGTTGAAAAAACTAGGTCGTTTGCCCTAAACTTCCTCACATTTTGGTGGATTTGCCCAGTTGTATCCCCGGTGTGTTACTGTGTCCCACTGTCGCCCACTTTTCCTGTAAATGGTAGATCTGGAGGCTCATTCAGACTCAGGTTCTAATATTTTCAGCAAGACTACATCATAGGAGGTGACAGGTACTTGCTTCTGCGCCACATCAGGAAGTGACCTGATTTGATTTATTATCAAGTTCCCAATAGCCTTTCACTTAAATTATGATCTACCCATCTTTGATCTATTTCATTTGGAATTGCATAATGGTGACTTTATTTTATCATTCTGCCCTTCTTGTCTTTGTTCTGTAAAGAACTTTTCCTCTTTTAGACTTTGTAACATGAGGCAAAGAAATTCTTTGAAGTGAACCCAAACTTAGAACATTAAGGTTGCTAGCTCCTTTCGTTGGGCTCCAGGGTTGCAACCCAGGAAGGCTGCAATGTATAAATAGTGAAGAGAGACCGTCATTTTGAATCCCAGATCTATCACTGAACCTCTGAAAGCTGTTTCCTCACCTGTAAAATGGGGACAATGAAAGTAGCATCTGCCTCCTGCGCTTGTGAGATTGAGATGATGCAGTGGAGACCTGGGCACATGGTAAACACTGTGTTAGCGCTGATTTGTTATCTAGGCTCTGGCCTTTTCTAGGCCTTCTCAAGTCTGGGAGGGGCCAGCACTAACACACATTCAGTGCCCAGCCCTCCCCTGCATCATCTCAATAGGGGCTCTTTTTTTTTTCCTTTATTGATTTTAGAGAGGAAGAGAGAGAGAGAGAAACATCAGTTGGCCGCTTCCTGCATGCCGCCCCCCCTCGGGATTGGGCCCACAACCGGGACATGTGCCCTGATCAGAAATCGAACCAGTGACCTCTTGGTGCATGGGTCAACGCTCAACCAGTGAGCCACACCAGCTGAGCCGATTAGGGCTCATTTCTGCAGGGACCTCTGAGAAGCATGCAGAATGATGTCCCAGAAGTGCCCACCTGAAAGACACTGGTTGGGGGTTGCCTGCATGGGAGTTGGCTCCTGGTAACAGGCCACCTTTGTGGCCAAATGGGACCCAGTTGGCAGAGGAGGCAGAAGGAAGCAGAAGGCTGAGGGCAGCCCCTGAAGTGGGCTTCTGCCAGCACAAAGTGAGTCCGACCTTGATCTGTCCACTACTGGCAAGGTGGGTGAGGGGCTGGAACAGCACCAGAGGCTCCAGCATCGGAGAGTATGGGCTCTGAGCAAGCCAGTGTGGCCTACAGCAGTTAGGTGCGCAGCTTCCTGCGGGGCAGGGGAACATGCTCCTTGAAGACAAAGCCCAGCTCTCCCTCGGAGGGAAGGAGTTTGTGCTCTGCTGGGTTCCACTCCCTTTGTCTCCGATATTTCAGTCCATATGCGGAGAACTGAATCAGGGCAGTCAGAAGCTTGTGGAACAGCTGCTTTAGCCCCAGTTTACCCTGCACCCCAGAGGGCCCCATTCTGGGGAGATGCTCTGGAGAAGGTGGCACAGGCCACCTACCTGTCATCATATGTGTCCCAGCCTGTGTCTGCCTATCTGCTTCAGAAACAGCCAGAAGCACAAGCATCTGCCATCCCTTTGGAAGAACCCAGAGCTCAATGTAGTTGTGAAACATGATTTTATTTTTTAATTTTTTAAATGTTTTTTTTTAATTGATTTTTTAGAGAGAGAGGAAGGGAGAGAGATAGAAAAAAATCCATCAGCTGCCTCCTGCATGACCCCTACCGGGGATCAAACCTGCAACCCCGGCATGTGCCCTGACAGGGAATCAAATGGGGACCTCTCAGTCCATGGGACGACACTCAATCCACTGCGCCACACTGGCCGGGCGTGAAAGATGATTTTAAAAGGCAAAGACCAAACCTGCCCAGAAAATATAAATATATATATATTTTTTTTATCCTCACCTGAGGACATTTTTCCATTTTTTGTTCAGATAGAGTGGGAGGGAGAGAGAGGAAGAGAGAAAAACATTGATGTGAAAGGGACACATCGAGTGGCTGCTACCTGCACGACCCAACCAGGGCCGGGGACAAACTGCAACCGAGGTACGCGCCCTTAGTGGGAACTGAACCCGAGTCTCTCTGGACTGTAGGTGATGCTCTAACTGCTGAGCTAACCTGGCCAGGGCCTGTCCAGACAATATTAACTCTCTTCTCAGATGACTTCCTGCCTCCTCTCAGCTGGTCCTTTTCCAACTCTCAGGATCAAGCTGCTCTCCCAAAAGCTGAGCTGTTGTCCTGGGTTACCAAGCCTGGATTTGTACCCGGTGACTTCTGTCATATCATTCTCCTGGGATGAGGATATGGTAACTAAGACAAAAAAAAGCAGGTAATTTGAGGTCAGGTTTATTCCACAAAATGTTAAGCTATTTTTCACTTCCTCATGAGGCTTCTTAACATCCCAGGCTGACCTTTGGGAACTCCTAGTAACAATATGGCTAGGGAGGAAATGATGTTCACTGGTATTTCATGTTTCCTGAGCCTTTGCAATAAACTTTCATTGGTGAAGATGATCTGCATGTATCTCTTGAGTGGGGTATATAGTGTCTTCAATTTTATTGTTACTGTACCTCGCACATACATTGTTTTTATTCCATTTTAATGAAAACACCTGTTAGTCAATCTGTTCCCAATGAAAGTCCCACACAGTCCCCTAGAATCCAAATGTTCTCTTCAATCACTAGGACATTCTTTTCCTAAATCTTTCATAAGAGTCAGGAATCCAGGGGAGAGGGGGGCATTCATTTCTGTCATCATTTATTCATTCAACAATATTTGTTAATCAACTAGTATGTGCTAAAGGTACCGCAATGAGGAAGTTATAAAATGCCCCTGCTCTCATGGAAAGTTTATTCTAGTGTAAAGAAGATAATACAGTATAAATAATCTATTTATGGGGAAGACAGACAATAAATATAAAAAATCAAGGAAAGCTTCACATGGTAATAAGTGCTCTGCAGAGAATTACAACAGGGAATGTTCTGGAGAGTGGGTGGCTACTTTAAATTATGGAGTCAGGGATGACCTGAGTAAGTAATATTGTAGCTGAGATATGAATAACAAGGAACCTGACGTGATCATCCAGGGAACTAGTAGTGCAGGCAGGAGCAGCAGCCTATGCAATGACCTTCTTTCCAACTGGCCTTTGTTTTTTTTGTCCTCTCTTGAGCCCATTCATGGAGCAGTACGCACCTATGTGATCAAAAATTGAATTATAACCTGAGTCCTCATTTAGTCAAGCCTGTGCTGGGCTCTAAAGTGAGTGAAATAAAGGAGGAGGGCCACTCGGCCCTGCTTTCAGGGAGCTCCTAATAAGCCTGGCAAGATAAAACAGACTCATGCCCAGGCACAGACCAGGGCACCATGCAGGACCAGATGTCGGGGCTGCAGTTACTCCATGTGGAAATTATCAAGTGCTTCTTTTACATCATAGAAAAAGTATGCTTTTTAATTCCTGAACACTCCGCCTTCAAACAAAAAATTTGCCAGTTGAAGCAGAAGCGATCAGCATCCCATTCTCATTTCTTGAACTTAGCTCCAACTTCACTAAACTATTCCTTTTGTGTTCCAACTGACTCCCAACGGTCCATATCTGTATTTCTATTCCTGAGGACTTTTTCCTAACACTAGAAGTCTGCTCTGGGGAGTATCACCCTGGCAGT